GTGTACCCATTCACTTTGGTTTTAAAATGTTCCTTTTTATAGCCAGTGTATTATGTATCTGCAGCTTAGCTGCTCTTAGTATAACGTTGCTGTTCAAATAAATAAATCTCACTAAGCCAAGGGGAATGCTGTGAAGGATATCCAATTATTTTATCTTTCTTTTTGGGGGGAGGAAAAGGGGATGCTCTGATCTCTGTCTTTCCAAGTGTATTGTACAAATCATCTTAACCTGTGTTTATTGCTTTGCCTTTTCTATTAAGTTTTAAATTGCCTTTAGGTTCCTTAGTTTTCCCTGATTCTAAAACTCCTTAATTAACTCATATAAGGGGCCTGAGGTCACAGTGTTGTTTTATTTTTTGTCGCCTTGTTTCTTGCTTTGTCTAAAGAATTGGTTGCAGTATCCGCTGTTGAGCTTGTGCTAGCGATGGAGGTGGTGGTGAATATTTCCTTCCTTTCATTAATGAGTTTCCCTTCTTTAGAGACCCAAGAAATAGTGTGGCTTGGCGGTGGTGTCTCTTTGTGATGCATCCCATTGCGATTTGTCTTTGGACAAAGTGCTTCTTCCTTCTGAGCTTCTGGGCCCTCAGTTTGAAAAATGGAACCTTACTTATAATCGCAGGTGACATCTGTTCTCTGGGCTAGTGAAAAATAAACAAGCGAGTTTAAAATTTTTCTCAAGAACCTAAAAGAAAATTTATTTTTAGATAAGCAATCTATTTAGCTGTAGTAAATATTAACGGTATTATAATATTCTCTTGCAGCTTGGCTTAGGGCAAATTCAGATCAGCTAGTAAACTCTGGAGTAACTCATTCTGGTATATTTTAATTCCTCAAATAACTTATTTTATTTTATTTATTTATTTGTTTATTTATTTTTTTGGTGAGGAAGATTAGCCCTGAGCTAACATCCGTTGCCAATCCTCCTCTTTTTCCTGAGGAAGATTGGCCCTGAGCTAACAACTGTGCCCATATCCCTCTATTTATATGTGGGATGCCTGCCACAGCATGGCTTGATAAGCGGTGTGTAGGTCTGTGCCCGGGATCCGAACCTGTGAACCCTGGCCCGCCAAAGCAGAGTGCGCAACCTTAATCACTATGCCACTGTGCCAGCCTCAACTTATTTTATTTTTTTAAAAAATAACTTTCAAAGATAAGTGGAAAACTATGTGTCAGAGTGACTGCAAATGAGGAAGCCTAGATTTTTTCATCCATCTAAAATCTTCATATTTAAAGTTTTAGGATTAATTACAAAGAAGTCCAAAACTTTCAAAAAGTTTCTGTAGTTGGGAAGACATGTTAAATCTTCCTATTTATTTTAATATGTAATATTAAAATATTTTGTCTTTGTCTACAGTTACTGTCCATGTAGTGTTTATGGCCATGACTGAGTGTCTGAGGGGCTGCGTTGACCGCCAGTTGTGTGTATACCTGCCCTCTTTCTTTCTCACAACCCACTACTGTCAGAAGTGGAGCATGCTTAGTAAATGCAAAGTCATTTAATGTTAGCCTCAGTAAAACATAGTACCTTTGCTTAAGGGTTAAAAATAACAATACACATATCTTTTGGGTTATTTGTATCAGTATTGCTTTATAGTAACATGGATGCTCAGGAGCTGGTTGCATTCTGGATTGAAAAAAGTGGACTCAGATCTTGTTCTTTTATCATAAAGGTGGGGGAATCCTAAAAGTCCAATTGTATGGTTGCTCTAGAATTATTGGAAAACATAAAAGAGCAGTATAAACTACAGAATTATCTACATGTTTTAAAAAGCAGTAAATGGAAATGAGATATTTTTGGCAGGGTGGTAGGTGGAAGAGATTTTAATCATCACTCATCCCGTTTTGCAGCAACTGTATCTCATCAGGTCTAAGATGCTATTGATTGTAACACGCATCCCAATTTCAGGGACATTAAAGCATTTTAAAAATGTGGCTGTAGAAAGGATGAAATGTGGTAAATACAGATTCTCTGTGCTCCAGGACCTCTAGCGAACGTTGTTCTGTGTACAGTAAAAGTCAGCACATGCTGGGTCTGTGTTAGCCCTGTTCAGTTTTGTTTATAATGAATTAAGTTTTGATTTTTTAAAAAATAAATTGACACTGACATTAAGATGACCTTTTAGTATGTGTCCAGAGTATTCTAGTCAGGCCAAGTGGTTGAGACTTAGGCTATGAGAATGTAAGTCTTACTGTTAGAGTTTAGGGTTAGAGAATGTTCATGTTTGAAACTGGAATAATAAGGTAGCACATCATCTTTCATCTAAAATATCCCCAAGATGTACCTCTTCTGTTTTTAAAGCTCTCTGAGGATGAATTATAAAAATTCTTATTAATAAAAACTATTTTGAATGTCAACTAGGTGTAAAGACCTACAGGGAATTAATGAATAAAATGTGCCACAAACTCGAAGAGACCTTTCTGGTGACCAAAGATTCTTATTATCTAGGAAACTGCCTCTAATTGCTACTCAATTCCTTTGCTCAGTTCATAGCTTAAACCTATTTATTTTTTGTTCTGTGATCAGTAGAGATGGAAACTCATTTATAATAATCTGAGGAAGAGAACAAATCTGATTGAGTCTCTGGGTAGCCAACTCCTCCTTTTTAGATGAGTTGTGTGAACCTGGCTCTGGTATAGGATCTGATGATGGAGCCAGTGGAAGCCCAAATATGATTTCCTTGCCACACAGATTGACACTGGCCTTGTGCAGTGTCAGTGAAGATGCATCTGGAGCAGAGACACAGCAGAGAAGCCAGGGAGTGAGTGAAAGGTGGATTATCTGGTGCCGGAGGGATATGGGTCTGTGGCCTGGTCTGATGGGCCAGGAAGAGTTGAGAGACAGCTCCAGACATGGAGATGCTTTCCATTTCCATCTGCTTTCTAGACCACTGTGCAATAGAAGGTTTAACTCTGACTCCTCCCATGGCTGTATAGCCTATGCCTGTCCAGAGGGTAACATTCATACAAACAACATAGAGAGATGACAAGCACATTCGCGATTATTCACAGACACCAGTATGGCTGCTGCATCTATTATTAGGCTGCTTTCACATTAAATTTTTCATTATTATGACATTTCAGTTTGGCATTTTTAAATTTCATCTCTGTCCCTTTTCATCTGTTATATTTCAGTGACTCAGATATTCCACATCAGGACTGTGAGAGAGGGAAAAAAAAACGAAACAGACACAGTCACTGTCCTCAAGGGTCTCACAGCCTAGGACAGAGATGAAAGCTTGGGCCAGAGAGGGAAGTAGCCCAGCTAACCAAGAGACTTCTTTGTTAATAACACACAAAGCAGAACCCTGCTGCAGGAAGGTGAGGATTCTGTTGACCCTCTAAGACAGCAGGCAGGGCTCCGAAAGTTCTGTGAGACACTCAAGTGATACTGGCTCTTTACATTCCCAGGGCTGTGTTTAGATGTTTAGAATAAAAGAATTCTCCTTATCATCTCCTCTTAGAGAAGAGAATTGTCATTTAGAGATCAGCAATTGGGGGAGGATAGCCATCTGCTCTGTAGAAAGGGCCTGAGAAATTTCTGTGAATCGAATTAGGATCCCCTTCCCCCACCAGTCCTTCGTGGTGATTTAAGAGCCAGGTCCATGGGCTCACAGAGGGAACTGTTGTAAATGGGAGTCTATGCAGGCCCGTCTGCCGGCGGTTAACCTCCTGGTAAATAAGTTGCCATTGCCTTGATTTATTATTATCTTTTTTATCTCGACTCCTTTGTAGAAATGCCATTGGAAAGTCTAAGATTTTGCTCAAATGCTCCGTATCTGGGGATACCTTTTTTAAGAAAGATGAGATTTTGAGATTTTTTTTATTTATTTATTTATTTTTCCCCCCCAAAGCCCCAGTAGATAGTTGTGTGTCACAGCTGCACATCCTTCTAGTTGCTGTATGTGGGACGCGGCCTCAGCATGGCCGGAGAAGCAGCGCGTCGGTGCGAGCCCGGGATCCGAACCCGGGTCGCCAGCAGTGGAGCGCGCTCACTTAACCACCAAGCCACGGGGCCGGCCCAAGAAAGATGAGATTTTGAAGCAGGATGTAAAACCTTACACAGGTCATTTGGATCTCTTGAGTTGTTTATGTCCATTTGTTTTTAGACAGAATTTGCAGGAGTCAAATCTGTGTATAAATTTATGTGACTGAATGTGTCAGTTCAGGTAAAAGATAGCATCTGCCACAAATCTTGGTCCAAATATGCCATAGTGACCGAAGACATATCTTTGTAGGCAATTTAATTCAAGGTGTGCCATGATAATTTTAATTTTTCAGTCATGCTCCCCTTCTCTTTCCTTTTAACCCCAATTACCAACAAATCAGCTAAGGGGTTCAGCTGAGGAGGGGGAGGAAGGTGAAGAGCAAGAAGGAATCGTGTACTTAAGCACTCAGAAAGTTTTAGCTTTGATTCATTTTTGGTTGAAACACAGTATAAGTGTTATGTTTAGTTTCCCCTGCTCCAAAATAGCACTGTTAATTTTTTCATTTGGTGAATTTTCACACAAGTGCTAATCACACGTTTCTATAAATTATATTAATTTAACTTATTTCCCTAAATGTTGTTCTGCAGTGTGTAGCACGGATGTTCTCAGATTCTTGGCTGTGTGAGCTTGTTGCAGTTGGAAGCAGAACAGAAACATCTGAAAGGCATTATTTGCATTACGGATGCTGGAGCATCTGATCTCACCTTTTGCTCTGGTTCTGAATCACAACTGTTCTTTCCCTTTGCATTCAATCTGTCTGTCCTGTCCCCTCCATCTTTGGCATTGCCGCAGGGTTGGTTTTTGGAGAAAGCACTGTCATCAAACAAGTAGAAGTTAAAGGGATAGTGAAGTTAGGTAATCATGTTTGGTGTTGAGGAGTTTAGCTTTCAGGAGGATGACTACTTCAAATTTAAAAGACAAAGGAGGTTGCTGTGGACTATAATGTGCCCTTTCTTGTCCCTAAAAAGGAGTACTCAGATTTATGAACACTGACTGGTTTCTCTCTCTTTTCAGAGTATGATTTCATCCATTGTAAATAGCACATATTATGCCAACGTGTCAGCAACCAAGTGCCAGGAGTTTGGGAGATGGTATAAGAAGTACAAGAAGATTAAAGGTAAATAGACTTGTTTGTTTTTAAAGCCTGTTTTCAGTTTCTTAGAGCAATGAGTTGTTGATTCTTTGGAATTTATGCTAATTTTAGACATCATTTTTTATAAAATTATGTATAACTTTTGCAAAGATAAGGTTCTTAATATTTCCATCAAGAGGTCCAGATTGGCTCCTTTAAAACAATGATGGCGTCAGAACTAAAAGTAAAATTCTTAGCATAATATATGAATTTTATAGTTTTCACAAGAGATGGCTGTGAAGGCCAAGACTTTTAGAAATATCTTGAAATGGTTTATTTCAGATAAGCATGTCTGTTTAAAAAGCTCAATCAATAAATCGTTTCCATTAATATATTAATGGAATTTTAAAAGCAGTCATTATAGGTTAAATTAGCACTTACAGTTTAAGTACCAGTTAACAAATGGAATGACTGTTTTGGTATCAGGAAATCTTTGGTCAGAAATGGAGTTTTGATGTTGTATTTATTTGGAGCCAATTCCAGAGCAGTGGTTAAAGCAAGGCGAATCTGCCCTCAGGCAGAACTTGTGTTCAAGTCTTTGTCTTCCATTTGCTGGCTGTGTAAGCTTGAACAAATTATTTAATTTCATCAAGACTCAATCTCCTCATCGGAAAATTAGAAATAATAAAAGTGTCTAAATCACTGGCTAGTTGTGAGGACTAAATAAGTCAATTTTGGCACAAAGTAACCTCTTAATAAATACTATCTATAATTAACAATAATTAATAGTAGTAGTAGCACCAGCAATAAGGTATTAAATATGGAATTGTATCTGGTCCTGAAAATACAGTTCTCTTATATAATAAATGTCATGCTATTTAGACCGTTCAGCCCTTTAAATATATCAGTGATATTTTGCCTTTGCAAATTTGTCAGTGTTGGAAACACTCTGTTGTTCTCACCCTAGTTCAAATGCTGTTCAATTCAAATGCTACTAGCCCCTGAGGGGATTTGGGGTATTTCTTGTAACATAATAGGTTGATGTTCTAGGGTCCTTCCAGTCCATATTTTGCATGGTTATGACATCATCCATCATGCTTTATTATAGGTATTCATAGCCTTGCTGACAGTTCACTGCCCCCATCTGAGGTTCAAATGACAATTTATGGTGGGTAGGTAAAAGCAAAGGATGAATTTATTTGTTTTACTGTCTGCAGGTTTCCTCTGGGGAGACAGAGTGTCGAAGTAATGCTAGTTGGCTGTTGAGTATTTGAGAGCTTGTTTACAAGGTTACCTTTTGAGGAAATGAGCTTTACATGCATTGGCGGCACATTTCTGATTACAAAGGAATGAGAGAGCATTTTATGCTAAATATACCAGTTGTAAGGAAAGTCAAGATGTTGAACTACCCAGGAGAAATTAAGTGCATTGAAAATTGAATTAAGATCTACTTTTCAGTGTATTCTAAAATTCTTAGGACCCTTTAGATTCTGATTTGAGCGCTTGATTTAGGATATTATTAATATTAATTCTTGTGCAGGATAAGATGAAGATCTCTTTCTCATTATAAGACATGATGGTGTAGTTCAGAAGCATTTCTTTTCTCTAAGCATTGCTTCCAAGATTTTTTTTTTTTAAATAATTGTTCAAGTGCTTGAACATATTCTCTTTGGCTAAAAATCAGAAGAATCACGCAGCTTCAAGGTCATTTGTTAGATCCCATTTACTTTCTGTTATAAGAGAAAGGAAGAGAGCGTCCTCTTTTAATAGGCTGGAGTGTAATTCCACATTCAGAAAGACTGGGAACCCTTCACTCTAGTGTTTTCAGAATTGCCACTACAGAATCTGTGCATGTGTGTGTGTATGTGTGTCTGTGTGTATCTGTTCACACACACATCGATACTTATATCTTCTATTTTTCTTCTTTGTTTCTTAGAGATTCAATTCTTCAAGTTCTATTTTTTTTTTCAAGATAGTAAATGCACAGTTAAACCTTTAAGTGCTGTAAAAGCAGACTGAGACCTTGATTTCAATCAGGAGGTCAAGGATCCACACCTGAAGAGGCTGCCAGACACTGTACACATGCTATTGAAAGAGATGCAGCTGGTCGTTGCTGTTGAGAAGTGTGTGTGTGCATGTGTGTGTGTCAGTAGGAGGAGAAAAGGGAAGGTTAAGGTATGTGTGAAGTAAACACAAGCTGCTGTAAAACAGTTCAAGTGGTGTTGATTCATCAACCAAGGGAGTGGGAGGAAAAACAAAGAATTCATGACAGGTATAATGGTATACAGAAAATAAACACCCAGAGAAGTGCATTTTATTAACTTTCGACCCTCAGAGAGAAGGAAGTGTTGGACCTATGCAGGCACATTTCGTTTGATAGGAGCTTTATGCTATGAATAGATGTCACTGTGAGAGTTCCTGTCTAGTAGAATCCATTTCTCATGAGAAAGGAATGATTTTGTTTGTAAAATTCCTGTTCTGTCCATCCATTTTCAAAGTGAGAAAAAGAAGTAATGAATTTCAAATCTAGAAATTAGTAGCAACAAAACCAGAATTCTACTTTAGGATCTTCCTGAGAACCTGGTAGTCAGAGTTCCATGGCCCTCCCTGCCTCCCTCCACCTCCTCCTACCCCGCCTCCACCCCAGAGTTATGGGTTTACGTGTACCATGGCTGATCTTCAGGATGGAAGAAAATCTCAGGCTATCTTACTGATGTCCCAAACTAAATGCAGGCTACATTGTTAAATATGTTTCCTATTATCTGCTAATGTCTGTTTTAATAAAACAGTGGGAACTAAATGGTTGCTTCTTAATCAAAACCATGATTTCCTAAACATAAGCTATGTGATTCTGTTACAAATTGCCACATATAGATCTCCTAGGTCAAAATTTTTTTCTCTTCTCGTAGAAATAAATAAACAGTAAAATAATTATATACTCTGAAACATCAAAGTAAATGTGTCTAAAACCTGGCAAAAATAAAAGTCTACTCGAAGGATTAAAAAAAAAGATCAGATTGCAAATTCTATAGTTAATTGCTTAAATAAATATGAGAAAAATGAACAATCAATAATTTGATATCATTAAAAACAGATGTAAAAACTATATACAAATGGAATTGTCTAAGTTTTGAAGTAAACATTTTAATGTACATTTTTTGAATTTATTGTTATGATAGCTAAACTATTTACACTTATTCTTTAAAAAGTCCTAAGTTGGTTTGGCTTAGCATGTTAGCTTTGTTTTCCCTGGTGATCACAGCAAAGCACATTCTTTTTGCCTTTTTCCTTTAATTTCAAAGACAATCACGGTTGACACAGACATATCTGAGTTAACATTAGTGTTAATTCAGGATAGATGAGGAGGCAGAGTTTTATGGGGTTTTAAGGTCCAGAACCATGAACCTGCTTCCCAGGAGTGTTGATATTGAAGAAAATGAAGTGGGTGGATGGGGTAGGTTGGTTTCGACAGCATTTTTTATTGCTGTTCATCTCATACTGTAATTGCTTCTGGCCTAGATTTTACAATGTAGAGCTCCTAAGCTCCAAAAATAAAAAATGGACATTTTGTATAAAAGCAAAAGAAAAAAATGACCATATTAACAGTTGTTGAAAGTGTATGAGTTTTAGTGTTGGACACAGGGTTAATCCACAGGGACCCAGAAACGTTCATGCTCTTAGAAAATTATTTTCAAGAATTCGTGGGATTATGTGGGATTTACCCATCAATTTTTCTTTCATAAATTCTATACATTTTAATGATGCTTATTTTTTTTAACCTAACTCTTCTTTTGTATTAACTCTATTTAGACTTACACTTGCCCCATAATTTTTATGAAACTAAGTGGCAATTGTGTATGTAATACCACTAGAAATTATACTCTTAGGATGATGTACTTCTACAGGGGATCTTATAAGACTAAGAAAGTGCCTTAACAAAGAAGGGCTCATATATTTTAAATATTTCCTAATTAAAAATTGGTAAGTTAAAAGAAAATAATTTTATGTCTAAAGTGTTGAAATTTCATCTGGCACCAAAAGCAAAATGAACTGTCGTCTGTGGTCAGGTCAATCTCAAGTATTTAATATGTCACAAGAATTAAGGGGTCATTGAAAGTTCACCCAAATACTAGTGGATATCATAAAATTATTTGTGTCATAGAGTAATTCCACTAGAATGAATGGACCTAAGCAAATCCCATATTTTGGCCAGAAAGCAAAATGATCCTCATCACTTTCCTTTTCTCAATCATTGCTCAAAAACCCCTGATTGCTGGTTGTCTTAATTTTATTTGTTTATTTGAGCTTATTTTGCAAAATATTAAAAAGCTGGGAGAAATGAGGATTTTAAAAACCAGTGTTACTTCCCCAAGCCTGGTTTATTCTAGTAATCAGTATTTTATCTGACCCTGTCTGATCTAGTCTTGCAAGATCAAACGTCCAGGCCAGCGAGCAGACAGTAAACAAAGCCCGCGAAGGGTTTCAGTAAACACAAAGATTAGATGTTGAATGAAAATTAAACTCCTTGAACTAGTCCTCTGTACTAAAGTGGTTAAGTGGGTTGTGATTAAAAGAAATAAGTAATTATGATCATTATAGCTGAAATGATATAATGTTACCACATTTAAAGCACCTCTTGTACCCAAAAATGATTGTGTCATTTACAAAGTGGTGCCTCAGAGTTGAATAGAGAGGGAAATCAATGGTCCCCGACCTGGTTCCATAAGGCGGCCCTTGCTTAGCCTTGGTGGTATCGGTGGTCAGGATGAAGCTTTCATCAACTGCTGGCACTTCTGCCTCTGCTGTTGTTTAGCTCTGAGGAGGTAAGATGAACTTACTTTTGTCTACCTCATTCTTCCAAGTCATGGAAGACGTTTGCTTTCAGCCATGGGTCTAAATGAAGGTATTTGGCAAGGAAGTGTGTGTCTGCCCTCTGCCTTGCTTATGGTACCTTGCTTAAAGTAATGCCAGCCTCAAATTCTTGAACTTTATGTAAATATTGGATTCATAGAAATAGAAACATCACTTCCACAACCAACCACTTT